GTGTATGGAAAGAAGCCCAATGTAATCCCACCTTGATTTGTTTATTATATGGTGGAAGAAAGAGAAATTTGGATAGGCTTTCAAGACTGATATCAGAAATTCCAGGATAGCTCTTGGTTATTCTAACTTACAATTCTTGATAGAGAGAGAGAGAGAGGGAGGGAGAGAGGGAGAGAGAAAGGGAGAGAGAGAGAGAGAGAGAGGGAGAGAGAGAGAGATCATTCTTAGTATAGCTTTTTTTATCAGATTAACAGGCATGACTTCCTCCCGAATATCTTTGAAATTACACATCAATGAAGATTCTTAGACTTCTACTAAAAAATCTCTAGGTAAATTCATGAAAATACCATTGTAGAGGCTTTAGGAATGAGTAATACACTGGGTTTAAATGCACATTTCCAGTTTAAGCAAGAACCTTCTCACTTTTCCTAACCCCAATTAAACCCAGGTTCCTCCTTTTCAAATTTTTGTATGCTATCAACTCCACCTACTGACCTATATTGTGGCCAAAGGAACTCATTTATCAGTATTCTGCAACTGCTTAAGGACATTCCATTTAGTTTGCACTGTACTTCTTTCTAATCCTAACACCAAGTTTTCAAGGACCAAGACAGAAGACAGGCATGCCTCTGTTAAAATGTTTTCATTGCATATTTTTTGAATTGTAAGTCACTCAGAGTAATTGATTGAGGCTGTAGGAATTAAATAAATAAATAAAATATTTATATAATTAAATAAATCAATACAAATAAATAAAGGCACCATAACCTCTGGCCCTTTCTCTTCACTCTGTATGTAAATGGACCTACTGGCATCCTATACTTTAAATAGGTTCACAATCCTGTCTCAGCTTGGAATAACATGGAGCACTTACCCTGGCATGTGAAACATCTGATGTGGAAGTGATTGTTCTGGACACGCACCACCTCGCCTTTACAAGTATCTCCACAGCGATAGCACTGAATTATGGTGGGACGCCCCCCAGAGTTGTATGGGTTTTGTTGAAAAGGAACTGCTGGTGAAAGTAAAACATACAGCTTATTAGTGGGGCACAAGAGGGGGGTATATCCCAAACCAGTTGGCTATTTAGCTATTTGCTCTTTACCTATACACACAAATACATACAAATGTAATTATACTCTTAGTCACGTCTTTCTTCAGATGTTCCCTGTAGTGAAAATGATTTCCTGACTATCGAACGCCATTTCCCCTAGTGACTTGCAGCTTATCATAGCATCAGTCAGTCATCACCGAAATGACAGAAAACCTGCCCTCATTGCAATTATTTTGGCACAATGATAGTTGGAGGACTCTAGCCGATGCTACAAGTCACCAATGATGAAATTACCTAGGAGAAGGAGGAGCTAGCTAGCCAATCCTTTGTTTCAAGTAACAGAAAGATCAGAGGCAAAAGCTGATTGAGAAAGGAAGAGCAAAGACTGAAAGCAGTTTATGTATTTTGCCTATTGTAAACAAACTCTTCTTTAGCTCAAAGTTTCCCCACCCATTCTTCATAAGCTAAGGCTGGAAAGAACACTTGATGAGAGCTATTTCAAGGACTGCCATTTGACATGTGTTGCTGTTCCTTGGAAAAATAAAAGCAGAGGGTCAAGAAGTTATTGTGTCTGAGGGTTGCCTGCTTGAGGAGGTCTTGAATTCTCCTGGGATCCACACAGCAGATGCTAGGGACTGATTTGTTCAGGTTAGTTCAACTAGACCTGAGAATTCTTCTCCAAAAATGTCTCTGCGGGTAGGTGTATCACATAGAGAGAAGAGAGAAAGAGAAAAGTAAGCTGTTGGTTTTAGAAAGCCCCAAGAGACTTGGCTGAGAGATAAGCTTTCGTGTTTCTTTTCTCCTGAAGTTTGCTCAGCAAAGTAATCTGTGCTGCAGATTACTGGAGGCCTCTCAAAATGACCAAACATTCTTCTCAGACCATGCTCTTGAGAGTACAGCACCAATGATAATGCCATCCTATTAGAGAAAAGGAGAGAGAAAACCCCTTTTTTTATCAGGGGGATCGTTTGAGGACATCTGAGGACAAGACAGCCTGTTGAAAGCCTTAGAAACTCTCTTTCTCTGACACACTCGGGCTGTACTTTCAGTCTGGCAATCCTAGCGATTCCAGTCCATGGTTTTTGTGCAGTTAGTTCATCTTTTTCTCCTTACAAGTTAATTTTTAATGTGTGGTAACGGGAAAAAAAAGGGAGAAAAAGTGATGGAAAATATTGGAAGATTATACGTGGAAGATGATAACTGAATCTCATAAGTGAGTCAGGAAATGAGATAAGCTCACATATTCCTTGGTGAGATCTATGTGCCTCAACTAGAGAGGGGAAGTGCTTAGCCTTCAAAAGCCTATTAAGAAAGAAAAAAAAAAGACAATTCACCACTCAGTGGTGGAGGGGGCTGGCTTTTGTGCCTGTGCATCTCCAATCATGTGCTCAGAACTGCATAGCACACAACGTACCGGCAACTGCGACAAAAATGCTTCCTATTTCCAGTGACGAAATACTGCAATGTGATTGCTGAATAATGCACGATACACACACCAAAAGCATTTCCTTGGGAAAACATGTTCAGCTTTCCTAAGGCAGATTCTGTGCATTGCCTGGAAATCACTGTAGTTTTAATTTTCCTTCCTTTCAACCTCTACACCAGACTGTTTGCTTTGCCTGCCTTATCTTTCTGTCCTCTGATCTCTGAATACGTTCCTTCCTAACTCCTCTGTTTTTCCAAGATCCTCAAACTGCAGGTAACCAATGGTCTCCTGCACCTTTAAATGAATTACAGAGTTGGAAGGGACCTTGGAGGTCTTCTAGTCCAAATGCCCACTCAAGCAGGAAACCCTATACCATTTCAGACAAATAATTGTCCAGTCTCTTCTTAAAAACTTCCAGCACTGGAGCACCCACAACTTCTGGAAGCAACTCGTTCCACTGATTAATTGTTCTAACTGTCAGGAAATTTCTCTTTAGTTCTAGGTTGCTTCTCTCCTTGATTAGTTTCCATCCATTGCTTCTTGATCTGCCCTCAGGTGCTTTGGAGAATAGGTTGACCCCCTCTTCTTTGTGGCAGCCCCTCAAATATTGGAACACTGCTACCAGCATCAGGTCAAGGAATCAAAGCTTAAATATGTTCACATCCATCCCTTTGTTACCCTACCTTTCAGATGTTTTCAACTACAACTCCCCAAATTCCTAATCACCGGCTTATAAGTTTGATATTTGGAGGATACTAGTGCTCCTAATTCTGTGCCACATAGTTGAAATTAATTTGTAAATTCCTTGGGGCAGGGAATAGTGTTTTGCCTACATAAATTTTCAGTTCTCTATGCAATTTGTATACTTGCTGTCAAATCTCTCTTCAGATTCAGTTCCAAGCACACCATAATAAAGTGTATTTATCTGTTTGTGGGTGTGTAGTGCCTTATTGTAGAATAAATTAATTAAAACTTAATTCCGCTATCTCTCTGGAATAAGCCATAACAAACTCATGGTGGGATTATATGTATGCATGTGTGTGTCTATGGTGCAATCATATATAATTGCATATATATTTGCTGCATGAAATACTGATACAATGGGATATTAGGAACAGAATCACATAGAGCAGCACCAAAGTATCTGAAGTGCTGTAACAAACAATTTGCTTTTGAAATGGAGGGTCCATCTAGGGCAGGGGTAGGCAACCTTGGCTCTTTTATGACTCATGCTGCCTCAGGATTTCTGGGAGTTGAAGTCCACGAGTGATAAAAGAGCCAAGGTTGCCTACCCCTGATCTAGGGCATCATTTTGCATATTCAGTGTCCTAGAAGAGGCATGATGCCTGCCTTAAACTGATACATGAAGAAATGCAGGATGTGTGATTTTCTTAAAAGCTACAAAGCATTGACTCAGCACCAGCGTAAAAGACAGAAACGGCGGCTGTAAAAAAAAATCTATAAACTCATTATGCCTGACTTAATCAATTAATCACCTGGTACAGAAGTGCAATTCAGAGCAGAGAGAACACAAAATAGCTTAAAAGAGAGATCAGAACAGACTGAAAAGAGACACAACAACTTATTGGATAGCTGGGAAATGGTTAGGTTAGAATTGCTTCATGTAGCTAGATTAAACCTAGGACCTCATGTCCTGAACTAGATGAATGCAGACATGTGGGTGTGAAAGTGTGTTAAAAACACTGGGTAGCAGATGGAGTACAAGAGCTAAACTACACGAAGCATTACATCCACAGTATGCAGCTGCCCTTCTGTTTTTATTTATCTATTATGGTGGTAGATGAGATAAACTATTATTCTTCTACCAACTGCAGCTGGCCTGATTATGGGCAAGGATTATGGAAGTTATCATCCAAAACAATTTCAAAACACAAAGTAGTCTACTCCAATAACATTGCAAGCAAGAGAGCAATACCCTGTTCAGAGGATACCCTGTCTGTCTCCCCAGCCCTGCACAAACCACTATCCTTTTAATTGCTTCTGTTATTTCAGAAGTTGTTATTGGACTGTTCAACATTTGCTTGTAGTTTTCTGATAATTTAGGAAGATTTGGGATTGATATATAATTGTTAATACTTTCTAAGGCAGGGCTTTTCAACCAGTGGTACGGATACTACCTGTGGTACATTGGCACCTGGCAGGTGGTACGCGACCATCCTAGAAAAGTGGTAGTGGGGGAGGGGAATGAGCTGAACCGGTGGCAGCACCACACAAGCCTGAGCGAGAGATGGCTGGAGCTGCAGGGCTGTCAGGGCTCAGCGGAAGCGCCAGGATCAGTGCTGCTTTCCAGTTGATCGGTGCTTCTTCGGGACTGTCAGAGCGCAGTGGAAGCACCAGGATCTGCGCCAGGATCAGCGCCAGGCTCCAGCTGGAGCTCGGCGCTGATCCTGGCGCTTCTGCTGAGCTCAGGAGAAGTGCCGATCAGCTGGAATGTTGCAGCATCTACAGGGTCTTGTGATTTACATTCAGATGCTTGGCCACTGATTCATATTTATAACGGTCACAGTGTCCCGGGGTCAGGTGAAGTGACCAAAACCTGCTGCAACCACCCAGCAGACGGGGGGAATAAAAACCAAACACCCCCACCTCATCCCCCCACTGCGAATCCTCAACAGAAATGCTCACAACAATGAAAACCTCGGACAGGAGGAAGAGCGCTGCCGGGCGGACAGGCAGGTAGGTGTCTTGCTCGGTTGTGGCTTGGGGGCACTTTTTTCAGTGCCATTGTAACTTCGAACAGTCACTAAGCAAACTGTTGTAAGTCGAGGACTACCTGTACTTTATCACTTTTTTCCTTTTTGGGGGGGGGGGTCATCAAGTTTTTGACACCTTGCTAGGCGACTGGTGGTACTCGGATGTTGCCATATCCTAAAAGTGGTACAATGGGTGAAAAGGTTGAAAAGCCCTGTCCTAAGGGGATGTGATGTTTCTTATATAAATTAGTTTAGTAATTCCAAAAATGTCTTTAATTTTATCCGTTTAAGTCTTGTTTTCCCCTTGTAGTTTAATTATTGGCTTCTTTTCCATTTGGTTTTTTTAATTGTGTGCCAACCATCTCCCTGGTTTATTTGCAGGTTCAAAAAAAAATGTTTCATAGGTTTCAATTTCTTTTCAATATCTGAAACAGTCAACAAAGAAATTTGTTGTTGCAGCAATTTTAGTTGATTAAGTATATTGGGATCCTGAGAAAAGGGAGGAGCAATATTCTATTTTATTTTTGAGCAGAGGCAAACAGAGTTTTGCAAAGCAAGTAGCTGGAAAAAATAGGTGGCTCTCTTACTGATGTTCTGTGGTTTTCATTACGAAGGATAGAATGTTCTGCATTTACACTACCAGAAGCAACAAGAAGAAAAACAGTTGTATGGTGTTTGTTTAATGTTTCATGTCATTTAGCTCTGAGCAGTACAAAAGTCAGGAAGAAGCTATTGGTTATTATAATCTTCACCAGCTTTTCATATGACTACAGTACAGTACAAATCAACTTAGGAAGATGCCATCATTCTCAATTTAATTTTTTTAAAAAAAAATTAAAATTGTTTTTTTTTTTAAAAAAATAATCTATTAAATAATTAAATAATCGTACCTATTCTTTTGATTTCCAAGCATTCCTCATCTGTCATACATTTCAAACCTGTCTTCTCTTTGGAGTTCCACAAGGATGCAGAAAAATGAAAGCGCCAGAACCCCCACCAGGAATACCTAACTGTAAACTTATCCTGCCTCCCAAGCAGGCAACCTACTTTAGAATTCTTTCCCTGGATGATGCCTTGGCATCTCTGAGTTATCTGCTCTCACAGCAGTACAGCCTGGCTCTAATTAACTACCTGTAATTAATTTTTGTGAAGTGCTTGGAGGAGGCACTTGATGATGCGATAGGCATGCTGAATAATCTGTGTTGTGGGATTATTTGTGGCAGATTTAATGCACATCATCCAGATGAAGGGTGAAAAAGGGAGTATTTTTTTTTTAAACAAAACACACTATATATCAGTGATGGTGAACCTTTTAGAGACTGAGTGCCCAAACTGCAACCCAAAACCTACTTATGCATCGTCAAGTGCCGGGTGGGTGTGGCCAATTGGGTGGGCATGGCTGCAGTGGTAATGGCAGACTGGGTGGGACTAAAAAATTCAATCAATCAATTCCAACTTTGCAAGAACTCCCCCCCCCCAAGTTGAAATTGACTGATTGAACCTTTTTTTTTTTTGCACATGGTGGTGGAGGCCTAAAGAGAAAAGGTTTTATAAAACCCAGCTGAAGGCCTAGGACTGAGGAGATGATGCGCGTGCCCACAGAGAGGGCTCTGAGTGCTGCCTCTGGCACCCATGCCATAGGTTTGCCACCACTGCTATATATACTGCGAATATGAGGATGATGAGACATATGCTGCAGCTTTTTTTTTTATACCTTTGAGTCAATAATTATTGGACAAGTCCCTGTGGTTCCTTGGCAACATTTTTAGAAGTGGTT